TTTACAATAATGTTCCTATTACTTTGACTACTAGCTAATAGTAAATAATGGAGGATGGAGTATTTTGGGTGCCTTTAAATCAGTTTTGACTCCCAACAAGTCCTGGCAATTTTCTTGGAAAGATTTCAGAAGTGGGTTGTCATTGTCACTTTCCTAGGATTGAGAAAGAATGATTGGCCTGAGATAACCCAGTTGGCTTTCATGGGATTTCTGCTCTTTAGCCTAATGCTTTAACTACCGCTACACCAAGTTGGCTCTCAAATGGTAATATAAGTAATCCTTGATTTATGGCCACAATCAGGCCCAAAATGTATGTTGCTAAGTGGGACAGTTGTCAAGTGAAATTTGCCCTATTTTAGGACTCTCCCCCAGTTAAGTGAATCACTGCAGTTAAGTTACTAACATGGTTGCTAAGTGAATGGCTTTCCCATTGACTTTGCATATCAGAACATTGCAAAAATGATCACATGACCATGAAACACTGCAACCGTCATGAGTCAGTTGCCAAGTGTCTGAATTTTGATCATGTGATCATGGGGATGCTGCAATGGTAAGTGAAAAATGGTCAATAATCACTTTTCAGTGCTGTTGTACTTTGGTCACTAAATGGACTGTTGTAAGTCAAGGACTACCTGACTGTTAAAATTGAATTGTTGAAATGTGTTATATATTGAAACTTGGTAGACTCATATCTCTTACCTATGAGTGCTATAAGTTATTCTATACAGTGCCATTTGGAGAGGTAATGTTTTCCTTAGCTTAGACTATTGACTAAGCTTCCTGATATTTACTTCAAATCCAAATTGTCTACCAACTCAAAACCCATTTGAGTATATCCCAGAAGGCCTTTTTTGGTATTAGGCAATTATTGCCAAAGCAACAAAAAAAGTTCAAAAATTAATTTGGAGAATATGCAAGAAATTTGGTATAGATATATATTCAATTAGTAGCTTCAGGCTTTAATATTAGATATGTTTTTAATATTCTAAACTTCCATTCAGTTCAGAAAAACCCTTTGATTGGGCTAGTAGAGTTAATCAAAGGATGCTTTAGAAAGGTTCCTCTTTTATGCTGGATATGTAATAAATTTAAAGAAACATGAAATAGACATGTCCACTTGTAATTTCTTTTCAGTTTTATGATTGTTAATGTTGAACCACATTCTTGGACAGATGTCAGCATTTTGTTAAATATCCTTAAAATTGGAATCTTTTAATCTGTGAGGAACTTTGGGTAGATTGGTGTTGAATCTTCTGCAAAAGGGTGATATATTCTTGGAAGCTACTTGTGCTCCAGAAGTTAAAACTTGTTTTAACAAAAATCAGTCAACTATCTGCTTTCAAATTAGCTTTCTTCACAAAGAAAGGCAAGAATTGATAATATCATTTGTGGTCTAGATTTAATTTATTGTTTAAAAATTAATGTTAAAATTAAAGGAAGTTATATAATTTGAATAGTTTAATTTGTGTGTTTAGTTTTATTTCTGATTATTTTTTAATTTTTTTTACTAAGTTTGTTTATTTCCCCTTGCCCCAGTTTCCCCCATTAGTTTTTAATAGGTTTCTTTCTAGCAGTGCATAGTATTTTATACAATAACAATATGATTAAATAGGGCATAGTAACATTTTTTTTTTACAAAATGTTACAAAGTTTGTAAAAATAAACTCAAAAGTTTGAAGATCCACATACTTCCTTGGAAAAGCACTTAAATTTGGCAATCTTAAGGTAGAGGTATCAAGGATTACATCACAATATAACAAGTCTTTCCAAATAAATGCTTAAAATTGAATTCCTATATTAATATTTATTGCATATTTAGCTTCTCTTAAACTCAAGTCCACCTGATTTTAAAAAGTATAAATAACATGCCATTCATTAATTCATTAAAAAAAAAATCTAAACATATTTTGGATACAAATGATTGAATGTAGTTATTACATTTTTCATTTCTAGAACCTGTTGATTCTTCTCTAATTCAGTATGCTCAGCTTATATGGCAGAACCATAAATCATTACTAGTTTTGAAATTTGTAACTGCATACAAACCCAAAGAGCATTGTTTATAATAAAATGTTCTTGTCATGTGTGCAGATATTAAATGTTTCTTGTCGCCTTTCAAGAGCTGAAGTGTTTTTGAAAGTGAAATTAAAGATTCTACAACTAATAACTGTTCCTATATGGAGATTGGTAAAAGTATTTAGATCAGAGCTAATTCTTTTGCTAAAATGTATAATTCAACCAATGAATTGCAGATCGTGATATGGGAGCACGTCATAGAGCTCGTGCTCATTCTATTCAGATCATGAAGGTTGAAGAGATTGCTGCTAGCAAATGCCGCAGACCTGCTGTCAAACAGTTTCATGTAAGTATAGCAAATTTTAAGTGTGTGTATTCTCAGATTATATAATTTGAAATTTTTCTACTTTCTCTATGAAACTTTATAATTTTGGTCAATGACTATAAGTAGATTGATTGAACTCATATATATTGAAGTTCCTCCATCAATTTGTAGTCACAGGCTTTTCAGGTAACTATAGAACAATTGGGTCATATCTTTCAGCTCATATTACTTCAGGTTTGTTGGAAAAAAACTGAAGAATGCTTTGTGCACCAATTTGATCTTCTAGAGAAAATGAGATATTAAGCTAACATACACATACTCAATACTAAAAATGCTAATATGCCATAGAGTTTTAATATGTAGCATTTCTTTAAAAAAAAACACTTCCAAAATGATCGTTTTACTATTTAGCATTATACTTGCTTTAAAAAGTATATAATCACTTGCCTTGTTTTAAAAATTCATTTTATAGTTGTGCTCTGAGAAGTCCATCCTTTATTTTGCATGGATTAAATTATCGCTTGGTACTAACATTAGAAATATATGTGCTTTCACTAGAAAGTGTCATTTTTAAAATTTTCTGAATAGTACCCAAACTGGTGAAATTTTATTTGTGCTTATAATGAAATGTAATCTCTTTTTACAGGATTCTAAAATTAAATTCCCTCTGCCACACAGAGTGTTGCGCTGTCAGCATAAGCCACGCTTCACTACCAAGAGACCAAATACATTCTTCTAAATGTAGGCTTGATTGATAAGTTCCATGTATCAATAAAGTTTTTTTGAACATTCGATTGTGTTTTAAACCATATTTATTCTACTCTTATTTAAATGGCTCATCTCATTAGTGTGACTTTGAATGGCAGCAGTTTTAAATATTTAAAACATTTCACAAGCATTAACTAGCAGCCAAGACAAATATCAACACAACAGCTGTACAGGCTCTGACACCAATCCTTCCAGCTCTAGGAAAGGTCAACAGGTTCAGGGCCAATCTGAATTATGTTCCACAAAGCAGATGCTATAACACAAAGGGCTCTCTTCCTGGCATTTGCCAGATGACACTAATTGACAAAATCCATAGCATGTTTCTCATGTCATACATGATGGGACAAGTGGACCATAATTAAGTCGAGGTGGTTCTGACTTTTGCAAATGAAATGCATCAAAAATACTCTGCTACAAGGGTCTTCAAACTTGGACAAGTTTAAGACTTGTGGACTTCAACTCCCAGAATTCCTGAGCTAACATGACTGGAGAAGGAATTCTGGGAGTTGAAGTCCACAAGTCTTAAAGCTGTCAAGTTTGAAGACCCCTGTTCTGGTATATCACCTTGGAATGGTGTATTCTGATCCAGCTCTATTATACCCTAATTATGCAGAAAGCTGAGGTGCTAAGAATTTTAGATCTTGCATAAATGTTCACTGTCATGTTTACATCAATTTTATTAAGCAATTTCAACTTTATAAAAGCATTTTAGTTTCTGTCTGGCAACATGCTAAGTAAAGATGCAAAAAACTTAATCACAATGTTGAACACATTTTTTTCCAAAAAAAAAAGTACTACCACCTTTAGAATTAAATGTGCCTCAATAGAGAAATAAGACTTGGAAAGTGTATCAGATCATGTAATGGACCCTCTTCACTGGGAAAATCCATGGCAGCATTGCAATTCTTTGTATTCTGAAAACGGCACATTTACACAATGAAAGCAGATCTGATAAAGCCAGAGAAAAGCTTCGTTGATGTCACACTTCTTTCAGGTACATTTTTCTTAAAGTCCTGCTTGTTCTGGAAATAGATCCTGCCACTGTGATGTCCCTAGTTCTAGAATTTGCAAAAAGTAAGCACAATCATGTCTTCAAACTGAATAGCACTAGCACTTAAGACTTACTGCTTCACAGTGCTTTACAGAGTCTGCATATTGCCCCCAACAATCTGGATTCTCATTTTCTCGATCTGGGCAGGCTGGAAGGCTGCCTGAACCTTGAGAGCGGCACTGCGGGCAGTCTTCGAATGCCTTCTAATCACTGCTCCGCCAAACAAGGGGGAAAGATCTGTCGGTCTTCTCCAATCTTCATACCTTTCCTCTGCAACTAAGCTCAGTAGACCTCCGTTACTAATGAAGATCATAGACATGAACTTTTTGGGTGAACATCCATCATGGAAGCGCTGAAAAAGCAGGAGAAAAGCTTGTTAGGTACTGAAACAGTCAACCAGGGTTTGATTTTAAGGCTTGTGGTAAAATATTTTATTCTGTGGGTCCTTGTATAGCTTTGCATAGATCTAGGGACTAAAAAATGCCCCTGGTGGGGGGGGGG